TCAGGCGAGCGCCTTCCCCCGCAGCCCTCCGCACGAAAGGAGGACCCGCCGGTAGGGAAAACCGACGTGCATCGGAGCAACCCCACGGTCCTCCATGAATCGAGAAGGGGCTTTAAAGAAAAACCTCTGGAGGTCCAATCGCCCAGGTAGAGCAGCCTCACTTCCTGAGAGGCGGGGGAGGGGGGGAGAGGTTTCCCGGGGATGCGGATGTGTGGAAAGAGCCAGACGGCTGCAGCTCCCTCCGGAGAGCAAAAGCAATGTTCATTTAATAAAAAATTCCCCTGCGGGAAGTCACGCAGAGGGGGGGGGGGGAAAGAGCTTGGAGCCACGACTGGAACCGGAGCTCCCTTGATTAACAATTCTGATTTTTTTTCCCTTTCTTTTTTTACTCCCTTCTCGCCGTTGATAGGGCGGTGGGGGTGGGATGATTAGATTTGGGGAGGAGGGTGAGATCGGAAGGAAAAGGCTCCAGGATTGGGCTTGATTTGAAACGGAAGACTTTCCAGCCCATAGGACGTAATAGCCAGCAGAGCGAGCTAGTGTAGGAGCGCTGAGGCGCGTGCTGGCAGCGTGCATACGTTGTACGCATGCCCAAAAGTCGTGGTGTGGAAATTTTCTTGCATTTCGTGCCAGACTGCTGGATTTGACCTCCTGTACAAGATAGCAAAAACAGCATGGCTTCTCGGTGGAAAATTTTGGAAAGAAAGGATGAAGCCCTTGTCAGGAAAATTGATGGAACTGTCCGTGACAAGTGGAATTGGGAATGGACCCAGAGAACTGTTGATGGCACCATGATAGCTGAATGCATCAGAAAAGTCACGGAACCAGGGAAAGCTTTTTGTGTCTGGTGTGAAAGTGTTATCACCTATGGAAAGGGTGGCCTGGTTGTGATAAAGCGGCATATGACCAAGAAGAAACACATGGATGTGAAAAAACTTAGGAAGACAAATTACAGCCTTAGTGGTAAGTTTCATCTGTGATTTCATTTATTTTATATTTTATGAATGGGGTTTTTATGCTGGTTTGATTTATTTGATGAAATTTAATTAGAGAGTAAGTGATTGAAGGAGTGTTTAGTGAATGCATCCAAACTTATTTTTCAATTTATTTATTTATTCTATTTATTTAGTCTTTTTTTTTTTTTTGCCCAGGGTAGCTTTATCAGTGGTTATTATAAACTGGTTTACTGTATGTGATGGCCCTGCATATTAATTAATATAGCATCACAAAAAAAAAAAATTGAATAAACATATAATTAGACTTGATCACAAACAATTTTGAATAAACAACATGTAAATAAGCAATTGTGAACTCAGCAAGTTTAGATCAGGAGAAAAATCATGCTTCCAATTCAATATCTGCCTCAGAGGAAATCTATGAACATTTATGACTTTAGGGAAGATAAATTTGTAAATAATTTCAAGGTATTGAAACATGAAGTAAATGCGTCATAAATTGTACTTCTAAAAATGTTTTAAAGCGTGACAAATCTCACAATATCTTCAAAAATTATTTCTTTCCTGTAATATTAATTATATAGGAAATGTCAGTACATAGTATCATAAATTTTATAGTAGTACATTGTTACTAATAATATAATAATAATTATAATTGTAGTTATTATTATCACCATCATCATCATCATTATTATGATGTCATATT